CCTTTTTATTAAAATCCGTAAACTTTTATATTATATCCGCCGCTTACGTTCATATCGCACACCGCAAGCCATAATCTGGCGAGTTATAGACGCCTGCATTTTCCCCCCCTCATTCCTTACTGCTCTTCAGTTATTTTTCCAGCTTTACTTAAAAAAGACCTGGTCAGTATTAAACGTATCCTCCGAATGCTCTCTTCAGCTACCGGTGTTTGTGATGCCTTTTTAGATGACATTATAATACGCGCCACTTTAAAACGGTCAAGCAATTTGCTGATCGTATACTTACTGAGGTCGCTCATCCTGTCCGCTCTGAACTAATGGCTGCGAAGTCTTCCCATCCTATGCGCCGAAGCTTCCGTCATATGTCATGCCGTACACTGGCATATCAGCACTCTGTACTCCCATTCCTAGCACGCTATCTCACTTGTGAATAAACGGAAATTGAGAAGTTGAAAGCCGACTTGTCTCAATAACGGATGTGAATATCGTGCAAACCCTTAACTTTGAGTATTCTGTGACCTTTTACCTTTTACCACGACCCCTTACTCTAGCTTATCCCCTTGTTCTCCGTGAACGGAGCCATTTTTTTCTTTCTCTCAAATGCATCTTATTTGCAGTACTGCGTTTGCATTTGGCATCCACTGCACCTCAGGTTCTACAAATGGATCAAGCAATTAGGAAGATATGGGCACACCAGTATTCGGTTTTTTGAGTTCATGTTTTACTTACTTGAAAAATCTAGCTCTGGAACTTGAGTCAGCTTGGCGCCAGGTGCTGCCACAGTTACATGACTTCAAGAGGAATAATAATGTATAAAGATAGAGTGGAGCCCCTGTCCTAAAGTAACAGAACTTCCTCTTTATCGGTAATGTCTTCCTGTCTGTAGCATAGTAGCCACTGAGTGGCTGACGGACGGGCTCGAGAACGAGCCCCATGACACAGTAGGGCATGTATTCCGTAACGCGACCGATGAGCAGTCCACTATCAGAGTTAATAGAACCAAAAACACACACTATGACAACACTTCAAAGACAGACTGGCCTACAAGGAACTAAGAGATTAGCGAATCCGCTGCCAGACGGAGTTAGGACACTCCGCCCCCCACCCCAGCCCTCCGACTTCGTGGCGGAAGTTCCACCTCTAAGCTCTCACAGCCCCGCCTGTCAGTGGCGCGAAGTAGTCAATATGCGTTTCTTGCCGGGCAAGCACGCTATAATTAGGTCAAGCATTATTCCGTTTTTTCTGTACAACTCTGCCACAGAAACAAAAATGCTCCTCTCCGTCTCATTACAATGTCTTTGGCTGTGCGCCTTGTCCATTTCTCCTATTCAATTGACTGAACAGGGTCCACTGTGTGTCACAAGGCACACGCGAAAGATTTTTCGGAAATGTTCTAGGACTAACAACAAAAAATGTCAACAAAATTTACCTTGACTTGTCGCTGAATTGCTTCGTTAGTAGGTGGATCTTTTCCGTAACTATCCATTAACTGAAGTTGACCGATGCGATCGCCGAGCAGTAGTTCGAGGGTATCTGCCTTCTTGTCAAAGAGGCTGGTGCTACCAATAGAAACAACAGTTTTGGGTATAGTAAAGCCCAGTCCACTAAAAGTTTCTTTTAGGGCAAGTAAGCGCGAAAGGCAGAAAATGAGCTATTCCACAAGAGTGTTATGAGGCAGATGAGGAAAGAAATTATTTTCTGATTTCTATTTTCTACCCTTGTAATTAATTATGATTAATTTACAGTAATATTTTTGCCAAGACATGCGAAGAGGGATGCCCCCTATCCCCGAACCTTGTCTTAGTTTCCCGGAAAATCAGGATTAAAGTGGGGGTTGAGCACAGAGTATGCGTTAATGTAGACTTAGGATTGGGGTAAAGCGTGGGGTTATTCGTAGCATTAGGAGTAAGATTAACTTTAGAATTAAGGCTTCAGTTGGATTACTGTAAGGGTTGAGAGACAGTAGCGAGGTCACCTGTACTACCAAGAGATCCCCTTCCCACTGTTTACCGCACGATTAACCAGAGGAGTAGGATCCTGTTCAAGTTCCACACTGTATAGCACCACTTAGTCTTGTTTTAATGAAATCTTTGTGACCATAAAACGTTTTTCACCTACGTCAGTTTATTTTTGAGTGGAGCCGCCTGTTAAATCGGAAAATGGTCCACATCCCCACACTTACTCCAGATCATCCAAAAAGTTGCCGATTTTGTGGTAGTCTCAACTGCGGCTTTTATTTGCGTGATATGATGCGCCGGTATATCTTGGATGGCTAATTGCTGAACACGAAGGCTTCCGGCCATTACGTTTCCTTCTGCCTGTTAAACGATTATTAGAAGTAGTGCTGATGGGAGCTGGTATCTGTCCTACACATGAAACCAAACAGTCTAGAACGAAGGCTGAAATTAATTGGTTTCACCCTTTCCCTCCCTGCGCAAACGATGTCAACGTGTCTCAGAATGGCCCTTTATTAATCCGGTTACAAGGAGAGGTGCGCTCAGTCCCGTGTGAACGCACGATTGGAGCACAAAGGAAAGACGATATGGACTATCAGATGCGGGAATCGCACCTTCATTAGCATTTCTATTCACTTTACCCACTTGTGAGAAACCTAACTGCCCCGGTGGGATTCGAACCCGTGCTAGCAAGAAGCAGGCCTTAGTACAGCCAAACCTTTTAGCCAATTAAGCTATAAGGTCCCCACCGGGAGCCGTGAGTTTAATCACAATTGAGTCACTTTACCCGCCCGGTATATTGTACCATGTGAAATGCACCAATACTGATATAGTAAGCGGACTGTCCGAGCAGGATTTCCTAAGCTGGCTGTAATAAAGCCTTCTTCTTGCTGGCATATGTTTGAATCCCCCCGAGGCCGCTGAGTCTTCCGCAAATGGGCCAAATGAATTATTCAAATCTGCCAAAACAGTATACTGAGAATTAGTATTAGTGATTGCGACGGACAGTATGTACTTTGGTAGATCAATTTGTGACGAAATTGTAGGAAATCTAAAATTACAAATTGGATCCGACTTCAGATGCCATGTGCTGTCGAACTGGGGTTGGCATGACGATACGAAGAAGCTATCAGTAACTAGTTCAATCTCCATCGTACTTTTAGGTAAGCGTTCGACTAATTTACTCGATACGCACGAAAATGCGAGTGCCCAGGAGCAACTAAGAAGATCATTTAACTAATTAATCACTTAACTGCTTGCTGGCATCTTCTAATCCATGCACAATCTCTTTTCCAGTGCTTTTAGTTCTGGCGTGTATAAACTTCGCCCGTTGACTTGAAGTTATTAAGGAATGGTCATTAAGTTAAACCTACTAACCACTTTCATCTCAATTGGTTCGTTAGTTGAGCACTTGAGTACTTGTTCCGCAATTCTTGTCTGAAGGTACGATTAGGCTTGTTTGTGAAAGTAAAATCATTTTGAATCTTCTCCGCATTCGTTAATTAACACACAAGTTGCAACTAGTTTGAATTTTTTGGCAAGTTCTAGCTCGCTCAGGGACTAAGTAAGATCGGTGATTGACGTCTGGTGCCGGGTATTACACAAGCAAGTCAAAACTTGACTTTTAGAAGTACCTATATCACTATGTGTGGCAGCGTTGTCACAGTTAGAAACCAATGAAGTTCGAATGGCTGCACGCATATACATGCGCAAGGGAATAAGATTGGTTCAGAAGACACTGGACGGCGAAGTACACAGGCCAGG